TTATGCAAAATGTAATACTGCATTGCTTATCAATAAAAAATGTTGTTTGAGTTTTTGAACAAATTCTACTACATTCATCCATAATAACATTTTTAAAAAAATGCTTACATTCAATTGTGAATTTCTTTGCGGGTTGTTAATTGGAGTTTTTCTTGGTTTCTTATTTCACTATAAAACTCAATTCTATATTATCAAATAATCGATAAAATAGAACCAAGAAAAAGCCAATTCAAAAATAATTTATAAATTATTTATGTATTTTTCTATTATTAGTTGAATTAAAATAAAAATAATTTTCTTTCGTTGTTAAATCATTGAACGTAAAAATAAATTCCAAGTCATGTGCTACTAATTTACCATTGGTCCAAATTATTTATGGAAACAATTACCGTAAAGTCTGGAAAGATAGCACCCCTACTTTAAAACAATTGAGCGATCAATATAAAAAAAATGTTACACATGTAAAAAGGGGATGCTATCTTTCCAGACTTTATGGTAATTGTAACAATTATGATCTAAATCAATAAAAAAAATTTTTTTTAATTTTTAAAAATGACAATTTATGACAATATTAAAGAACAGTTAGGAAAAGCAGAAAGAGAACATGAGGAGGCAAAAGAGGTGGAAAGAGAATTGGGAGGAAAGTCTGGACCAGTTGTTGAGAGAAAAGGCAGAAAAGTGTGATGTGGAGTTGTTTAATTACTTAAAAACAAAAGAAGAATTGACAAAGGAAGTGGAAGATAGGTGGAAGTTAGTAGAAGATTTGCTATATTTGTTAGCCAATTTCAATAAGGAAAAAGGTAATGAACAAATTGCATAAAAAAAAAAAAAATTTTTCATTCATTCCATTTTGTTTATTTATTTGATTGTTGGAGAGAGCATTTGGTATACTGTTTATTACATGGACCAACTGTATCTACATAACAATTTCTGAAATATATAGGTACTCAACTTAGGCCCATTAAATATTCAGTTCAACCAGTTGATTCATACAGCTTTCGTTTTGATCTTCCATTGGAACAACCCATTCTTATTTTGGAAAGTGAAATGTCATTAGTACTTACATCCAATTTTATGCAGAATTTGCAAACTCAACAAAATAACAACCATATTATAATTCTGTCTACAACTGAATATCATTCAGAGATGCAGTTTCAAATACTAAAACTCTTAAAAAATCTGAAAAGTGATTCAGAAGATGGACTTCATGGAAGGGATGGTGGATTGTTTCTTACCTTTCTTCATTCCAAGTTAACTGTAATGTTGCCTCTAGAAGCACCTTAAAATGTAAACATGTGGATGCACATGTTGGAAGTATACCAATAATTCTCATGAAAGAAAAAGCTGACAAAAATGATCTAGACATAGCCAAATATGAATTGATGAATAAATTTGCATGGCCACCTCATTATTGCAAATTGCCATTTGTTATTGCTATTGCAGTAGCAAATGATATTATCTCTTTCAACAAGCTTGATCACTCACAAAATCTCATAGATGAATTTAAGGTTAATCTTTCTTCTCAGGATAAGTGGGAGGTTTTCCAGTATGTTTTTGGTTTGATTTTTGATTTAGAAAAATTGTTTTACTTTATTATGGAGTATTAATTTTATCATCATTCTATATTCTTAAACAAAGCTGTGTACAGGCATGTATCAATATAAGTAGGTATTGTTTGTGGGCTGTTGATCAAGTTGGACCATTTCCACCATTTCCCTTTGGTGTTTCTAATGTGCAAATAGCAGAAGGAGATTTTTGGGGTCAAGGAATAATTATCAATTACTCAGTAATTATCAAGACATATATTGGAATGAAAAAGGAAGATATGGAAAGGTTCTACTTGTTTGCATTTTATCTTAGATATTATATAAAGTCATGTTGTTAGTTTTTAATACTAATGCTATGGCAATTTTCTATGTATTAGGGTCAAATTATTCTATGACACTACAAAAGGGACACAATACTTAGAAAAAGCAGTGAAATATGTCATTAAAGTCAAAGATGATGAATCTGAAATGTTAACATTATATTTAACTCCAGTAGGAGTAAATAGGAAGCCAGATTCAATTGGAAAATTACATATTGCAATGTTCATTGTGTTTATAATGTTCATCAAAGAGGTTGGTGTATAGTAGACTTATGTTGGCCAAATGTGGTAGAACAAAATGATTGTTTCTATGTGATAGATGCAGGTGAATTTGCACAACACCATGGAAAGGCTATTCACAGCAACATGCTTTGTATTTTTGATCCAGTCACTGTTGATTCCTGTAAACCTGCCACAGACATTTATATGTTGATTAAAATGATGGAGGATACAGAAAATATGTGGCATGGTAATCCTCATGGTCAGGATTTTTTCAAGGAACTAGAAAATTGCTACTGACAATATAGTTTATTTTCAGTACTTAATCACAATTTCCTCACCTAGCCTCAATGAAGCTATAAGTTATGACATACCAATGTTTTTGTTTAATTAATATATTATTCATTGGACTATCATGATCATAAAAAATAGTATATTTTTCTTATTTTTATATAGAAACATATGAGAATATATGGGGAATGGTTAATAGAAAAGGGGTAAACATCAAAATCACAATTTTGAGTTGATGCCACATATATATGTAACTCGTCGCAAGGAACAATTTTAGCTTAGGAACAATACCCATTTTGTTTAATAAAATTTTGAGATATTTTCATTAATTTGTGCTCCGTGAGACAACTGCAAAATTTTGCTGATCATTAGTATAATTTTGTGGTGATAATAAACAATAATTTTTAGAATTTTTGGAATATGACCGTCCCTCACGTGATTAAACATGATTACGCGCAACATTAAAATTTAAAATTTAAACTTTTCAAGACAGAACATACAATTGATGTAATAGTGACATTTTGCTAACCCTTTTCTGTTTGGAAGTGTGGTTACTTTATATTAA